ACCTTACAGTTTGTTCTTAATTGCTCTTTTGACTCGACGTATGGTTATGGAATTGAGACTTTTGAATTAGTTTATTTCGTTAATTAAACTTTCATTTATTATGTGTTACAATTTCTTTATGTTTAAATTGATATGAATAAGTATTAATAAATTAGTTCTGGTATGCGTTTGGTGCTGTTCTTGTAAATCCTGTGCTATGCAAGTCTGTGTATTGTATTTGTCTTTTGAAAATCTAAGAAAAATGGGCGTGAGAAAGCGCACGACACGAAAATTAAGTTTCATTCATTCATTAAATGTAGAGAGGAGAACATCACTAGGCAGACAAAAGTCACTATTGTGGAGAAGACAAAAGACCTCTTATCACAGTTTGTAGTGGAAGATGTAACGATGTACTATGCAGATAGGTTGTCTGCTATGGAGAAAAGGATTGGAACGACAAAGAAAGAGGATCTGTTGGAGCTTTACTTTGAGGTAGAGAATGAAGCCACTGAACAAGACAATACACTGTGCATTACAGCTAGATATGTTAGCTGATGCTGGTCAGTCCGAGTTGTGATTCTATTGTTTCCATGGTACTTCCTCCTGTATTTATTTGTGATAAGATATGGTACTTGTGTGTTGTGCATTGGTATGCTTCACTTTCTCTGGGCTCTACATGCTTGCCAACCTTGAAGTTTCAGTGTTTCTGTGCAAAATGTATACTGAATGTAACGTACAACATTTGTCATATAATTACATCTGTTGTCTTGTTATCTTGCAAACTCCTGTGTTGGTTATCTTGCAAACTCCTGTGTTGGTTGTGAATATTGAACTCTGTGTCGTTGCAACATGCAAGGTGATAGAATGTTCAGCAAACTACTGTTATATGTAGACTTGCCAACATGGACAAGAAGCGTAAGTAGACGCATTTATTTCTAATGCAGTGTACGTGTATGGTATACGTTATCAGACTGTTACGACAAAAGTTGTAGGCTATGAACTGGAAAGGCCCCAATTCCCAACGACGGTCAGAAATCCCTTGTCCTGTCTGTATCCTTGGTAAACCTGGCTAATTTGCGAGAATCGTCTGCAGCCGCTCTCCTGTCTGTCCGCCATCTTGGATTTCGGACAAATTTTCGGGTCACGAGAAATGCGCCTGCGCAATACCGCTGACGGCGTGATTAATGACATAGGCAGATTTACCTACATTCCGAGCTGACCTTGCAGCATTTCATCCAAGGCATTGACTCTGCCACACGCCTCCGGGTAATTGAGCGAAACCCCTCCACTATCGACCAGGCCGTCGAGATCGCCACCCTTTATGAACAAGCAGTGGCCGCCACTACCCCGCGTGAACGCTCAGTCAACGCTGTCCACAGTTTTTTTTTTCAATTCTTTATTTTTCATACCAACATTACATACAAAATAGAAAACTATAATGTTGCCTGAATGTCATTGGTATTTCACAGGGACGATCTACACGGTGACCACTCTGACAGAGCAAGTTTCTGCCCTCACGACGTTACTTGAGGGTCTGCATGCTCTTTTCCGTAAGGCGTAGGCGGGCCAATTTAATTTCCCGTAATTCGTAGGGACGTTAATTTATTTACCGTAGTTAGTAGTGAGGAGGCAAAAATTTCCCGTAAAGCGTAGCCAGCGCATTTCACGTAAAGCGTAATCGAGCCTAAAAATTCCCCGTAAATCGTAGTCTGGACTACCATTTTTCGTAAGCCGTAGCGGACGAACCAGCAAGCAGCGGATGACCTGTTAGGTCAACGTCGTACCCAGGATTTCTATTGTCTAACCTGGACACGAGAGCACCCATGACATCAGTGGAGTTCTGTGCTATTATTAGTCAGTATTGGCCAGGTGGCGGGAGCACATCTGGAGGCAATCTCAGTCACATCTTCATCTTGTCTGTCCCTTTCTTGCCTGTCCCATCTGGGTCAATGTGTGCGGTACAATCCCACCATGGCTCATGTGACGCCCGTGATTGTGGGCATTTTATCGCATACGGGGTCGGTTCTGACCCAGTATCGGTGCAATGAGGATCGTCAGTGTTTCAAGACAGCGAAGTGACTAATGTGAGTCAGCTGATAAACAAAATAGACGAACAACTCGGGATAAAGGAGTCAGCCAGCAAGACCGATCTGCAGATGACAGACACTACTTTAGCGCCAGAATTTAGCGTAAAGCGCTGCCGGCCTCCCAGAATTTAACGTAAAGCGTTGCGAGCCTCCATAAATTTAGCGTAAAGCGTAATCAGGACCCCCCATGCAGACCCTCAGCAAATAGTTACTGCAGGGCTTTTTCAAGTCTTATCCCCAGCTAATGTCTTAAATTCTATACACACAACTTGCAGACAAATACTATAAATCAATGGCTCCTCATTAAAGCACTACAGTTGTAACAGTATGGTTAACAGTTAGATTGAGTTCCAAGATCCCGGATGTTGGCCTACTAAACTCTTCACCGCAGAGGCTTACCTAGTGACTCTACAGCCAACCTTTCGTCATGGCTCTCTGGATAAAACCAGTTTGCTCTCTCTGGAATAGCTCTCCTCCAATCAGAAAGGGGTCTTTGGCCACGTCCCCCTTTCTGTCAATCAAAGTTAGCGTCAGTTTCGAGACCAAAAGAGCCCTTGGCCGGGCTAGAGAGAGAGACAGAGAGGGAGAGAGACCAAGACGTCGTCCGGCCACCCGGGTCCTAAGCTTCTGCCTGCTCCGACCAGGAGTTAGTAGTTTGTAAATTTGGTTCTATGAGTTTATCTTAGCGGATCTACTACCTCTGTAGATCGAAGTCATCCCTTCACTTCTGATTAGGTATGTGTTAATCTTCTGGGTAATAACTGTTCAGCCACTTCAGCTAGGGTTTTAAAGAGTAGCATTAGAAGTTCATTTGGGTCCCTTTTACTCCATCTCTAGTTGACTGCATTGTGTTAAACCTGTGTTAGATACTTATAGAACTGTTAAGACCTGCTTTCTCTTAGTCGAGTCTGTATTAGGTTCGGAGTTGAATGAATAAATCTTCCGGTGGTGCGATCGAATCCCGTGGCCTGTGTTAGTCCTTCATAGTCCCAAGTACTGTACCGTAGTGAGAGTACGGGTACGTTTCCGACTAGGGCTAGCCGTAATCCTCCTAGACCTGAGTAACATCCAGAGGCAGTACAGTACACACATACAGTGTACAGGGAGCTACATATGCAGCTGTACTAGTAGGGAAGGATGGAATGGATCATGTGATCCTGCTTAGGCCATATCATGTGATCTGTCCAGGCAGCAGTAACTGAAACATGTACATGTAGGCAACAAGTATACAACTTTTCCATCTCAGTCACTGCTAAATCCTTCAGCATTAGCCATTAGAGTTCCCTGATGTTCTTAAGTCACTGTTGTGAATAATGTTATTTTTGAGGCCCCTGGAACTGCAAGAAACTAGGTCAATTGAGCTTGCATTGCAGGCAGCTTTCTTCCAGTACAGTAACTACATGTAGCTACTATAGGGCATTACAATTTGTTTGTCTTTCCCCTACTACTAGTATGATGACCTTTCTTTGCCATGGGACTAGAGAGTAGTCTTTAGAAGACTGTGTTTATCAGAACTTAGGAGTCACACCCTACTATAACTTCAGGACAAGGCAAGCAGCTTGATCCACCCCTCCACCCAAGTGACCAAGTGCTGAATAGGCCTGTGTGTAGCTCCTTGTTTTCCTAATTACATGGTTCATCTGGTAAGACTTGATTAAACAGACAACAAGACTCTAATGCCACAGGAGGGGCATCCTGTATCTACATGTAGCTGGGAAGAAGCTGATAGCCCCTGTGTTTCCTAGCCTCCAAAGCAGACTCTCGTGATGCGTTTTTAAAAATGTTTTTTGTTAGTGGTTGCCTCACCGAGAGTCTGCATCCAAACATAGTTTATGACAGGAGATTATAGGCTCCTTTCAGACAGGGATCAGTAACATGTCTGCGATAGGGTAATTCACAAGTTTGTGATAGGGCAATTCACACCTAGGCTGGAGGTCTCTGTATTGAAGTTGACCCCAATATACTCTGTCACATTGTGTCTTTGGATCTAGTTAAAACACAAATATTATTAGTTAAAATTGCACATTCTATTTCCTCATCATATATTAGCTACAGTTTTTACTCCTGGTTGGTTGATTTATTGCTGCAGACTTATTGGGATAAGCTTAAACAGTCTCAGAACTTGACAACATGCCCAGAGCAATTACACAGTCACGCATCCATGCTGATAATCCTAAAGTGTTTTTAATTACCCTTTGATCTCATGTTTGGATGCAGACTCTCGGTGAGGCAACCACCAACAACAAAAAATCCAGTAAATAAAGGCAATTTATCAGAAAATAGAGCGTAATTAAACATAAAAACATTTTAAAAAAACGCCTCACGAGAGTCTGCTTTGGAGGCATGTGTTTCCCTGGGCAGAGAAGTTGCCCTAAATGTGTTGTTGTAGAGGCGGGGCATAACAAATCATTATCAAAACCCAGTAGCTGACTCTAATCTCCAAGCAGATGTTTCGGTGGCTGCAAAAGACAGTATGAAATTGGGTGGCGTGTTTGATACTGTCTGGCCAATTTGATACTGTCTTTTGCGGCCACCGAAACATCTGCTTTGAGATTAGCTGACTCCTGGTGTACAGTAGCTGCCATACTATAGGCTTGTTTTTTACACAGGCAAAAAGAAGAGCTTTAGACAATCAATTTCACTCCTTCAGAAACTTTTTTTTGTGTGTAAAGAGTTTTAAAAAGTGTTGTACAATGTATTTTCAGGTGTTACAGAATGCATAGACCCTAGGCGAGTAGTAAAATGTGCCTTTTGCGAGTAGTAAAACTATTTGAGAGATGAATAAAGGAAAATTATGATGTACTGCTCTAATGCAATACACTGAGATGGGGGTGAGGTGAACAGAGACCAGTTAAGATATCATACTTTCATAGCCTTAACAATAACAATACTATTCTTCAACTTTCCAGGCCAGAGCCATAAACAGCACAAGGGGTGTGCACTTAACAGTAGCCACCCTCAGCAAGCGCTGCTACAGGATGGCTGTTGGAGTCATGAACAAGTGGGCCAAAGGAACATACCAACGCCAGCCCACAACAGCCGTGACTCAGACGCTGTTTTACTGCCTTGTAGGCCTGAAAGACGAGCAGGACGTATTCAACGTCCTGCAAGAGTTCCACAATGGCTGTCTTAAAAGCAAAAAGGAGTTCGATCAGAAAGTGAATGGAATCAAGGTCAGTTTGTAAATGTGGTTTAATAGTTCCGTTTTTATAGGCATACAGAAGAACAGAGGCCAGTATTATTTTCTAAAAGACCGACAAACAAGTATCCAGAAACTTACTCACTTACTTGAAACACATTGCAAAAATTCATTTCCTATGGTTCTTTGTGAAATAATGTATTTCTCCTGGCTGTAATTGATCTGGAGGGTAAGCATGGAGGGGCACTACTCAGTTACTGGATTGTACCTGGTTAATCTGTAACTAAATTTTAGAAATTCGCATGATTTTGTATATTTAAAATGTGGTCTTTTAGAAAATAACACAGGCTTAGAATTCCGATCTGAATTCCAGATTGTCATGGATTCCAATCTCTACTGTGACACATGCAACTGTACATGTTAGTGACATTACCAGTCTTTTTGTTTTTATGACCTTCCTGTTGAGTGGTCTACAATAATTACCATTGGAGCTGACATATGACAAGTCAAACATGTGGAGGGAAACTAGAATGCTGTTAACAGACATCAAACTTTCTGAAAGAACTGTAATGGAATACCTATCATTCATACTGCATTCATACTGTGTGACAGGTATAATATCAATTAGCCTGGTCACCAGTCTCAATGGATCGGCTTACGGCAAATTTGGGGCATAGATATTTTCTCTGTCAGTCGATCTTATAGCTGGCTTGTTCTAATTGACTTCGTGGCGAGCTACAGTCCCCCGTAGCGTGTGTCGGGGGGTTGGGCGGAAGTTAAGACAGTTAGCGCCGATAAGGGAGCCACGAAGGTCTGGTTAACCAGGCTAAATATCAATTAAACATGTTTGTTCCTACAATGACAGCTTTCAAAGCAGGGGGGAGATGCCTGTCAGCTGCTGCGTGCAGAGAAGCAGCGCCTCTGTGAGACTGTCAGGAATCTGACAGAAGAGAAGACAGCAGCAGGAATTGAACAGCTTATCTTCTAATTTGTTTGCTATATTTAACCTAATGTTGGGCTTCTGTGCCTTGATAACATTTATTTCCAATAAACAATGATTTAAAAAGCTAGGAATGGGAGGGGGGTTGTTCACAGATCCAATGTTGATTTTTGGACAGTTATTGCGAGTCTTTCCAGCCTGGCCCGACCGGGGATCGAACCCCGGCTACTGAAACCACGAAATGTAGTACATTGAGTAAAAAGATAAAGTCAAGTGAACAGTGTTACTCACAACCTCGGCCAATGGCTACAACAAATGTATCATGAGTTGTGATTTATTAGGGTGGTTGCATTCACTTTGGTTTAGTACATAGTGGCTGGTACATATTTACAAGCATGCTGTATCTCTAACTTTCTGTTGCTGCCTTTTTTTTGGAAAGCACTGTATATGTCTATGTCAGTAATGCGATCATCTATCACTTTTAACAGGTTCCATCTCAGTTTTTTTGGCAAATGAGCTGAAATCTGACATAAAATTAGAGTAAGCCAATACCCCAAGTCACGTTTGTTTATATCCTTTCCAAAGGGGCAGGGGGAAGATGCAGAGAAGCAGCGCCTCTGTGAGACTGTCAGGAATCTGACAGAAGAGAAGACAGCAGCAGAGGCCGAAAATCAGAGGCTGTCAGGAGAAATCGATAACCTGAAGAAGGAGCTAGACAAGTCCAAGAAAGACCTGGACAAGTACCAGAAAGACAAGGTTTGTTTATTCTTCATTAGATTTCAATTAGGAGCTTAATTGAGTTATACACAACTAAACTAGATAAACATCTACAAAAAACAAAAAAATCAAAATGGAACTGCAAGGTCAGAGGTCATAAATCTATATACATGTATATTTTACATACACTTGGTCATCTGATCACTACTACCACCAAGAGTAAGGATTTACTGGTGTCCAGATTTTACTTTTTGCAGTTTAAAAAGCACACCCCAACCCCCAACCCCGTGCTAGGCGAGTGTTGTGTTGGTGTGTATCGTTAACTCTCTTCATCGTCTGTAGAAAGATTCTGGTTTTTTGGTTGTTCAAACTTTAGTAAACAGGGAGAGGGCACTATACAGTCTTTCCTTTACTGTGGGCCAGTGCAACCTTTTATGCATGTGGTCAATGTTAGATTTGTATTTGCAGCGCAATTAATTGACAACGAAGTAGTTTTTGTCCAAGGAAAAGAGTAACAATGTATAGAAGAACCAAGCACCTCACAAGCATCAAAGTTAGCACATAGAAATGTATACATGTATAAGTTAATACAACATGTAATAATGTATGTTTTATTAATAGGAGCCACACGAGGCAACTGAGCCTGCGCCAAAGAGCAGAAAAACGGTAAGTACAAGTATCTCCTGTAAAGTGCCATTGTGTATAGCAAATTTAGACTTTCTAAATTAAAATTTAGCATCATTCATGGATTACAATCTCCATCATCGTGTGCACTGCTCTTTCCTTTTTTACACATAAAGCTTGCACTAGTTAAGTCATCCTGTCTAAACTTCCAAAACATTATCTTTTCACTATTTCTCTTATTTCAGTTACACAACTGGGAGGGAAAGATCTGTAAAGGTTAAAAATATGTACTAAATACTTTATTTTCCAATCTGTTTCTTTTCACTATTTCTCTTATTTCAGTTACACAACTGGGAGGGAAAGACTATCACCATGGGCAAGATGGTGGCTGTGGTATACAGCAGCCCCCACCAGGTGTATTACGGACAAGTGGCAGATATAGCGGAGAGAGAGGGAGAACAGGTGGTGATGGTTGACTTCTTTAAAAAGGCAAGAAAGTCCCTTGTGGCCAATGGGGAGAGGCAGCCGGTGCCTCCCACCTTCATTCTGGACACTGATGTCCAAGTGGTAAAGAATGGCGAGACCCTTTCCCTCTCCCAAGGGGAAGATGGTAGACTAAAGAAAAAGGAGACCCAGTTTTGGGCTACAGGGAAAAGTCCCTGAACCAGATTGTATTTGTCAGGTGAAAGACAAAGTACTGTTGTTTTGTGTAGAAAAGCCAGGTAAAAGACAAATACTGTTGTTTTGTGTAGAAAAGCCAGGTAAAAGACAAGTACTGTTGTTTTGTGTAAGCCAGGTGAAAGACACGTACTGTTGTTATGTGTAGAAAAACCAGGTGAAAGAGAAGTACTGTTGTTTTGTGTAGAAAAGCCAGGTGAAAGACAAGTACTGTTGTTTTGTGTAAGCCAGGTGAAAGACAAGTACTGTTGTTTTGTATAAGTCAGGTGAAAGACAAGTACTGTTGTGTTGTGTAGAAAAGCCAGGTGAAAGACAAGTACTGTTGTTTTGTGTAGAAAAGCCAGGTGAAAGACAAGTACTGTTGTTTTGTGTAGAAAAGCCAGGTGAAAGACAAGTACTGTTGTTTTGTATAAGTCAGGTGAAAGACAAGTACTGTTGTTTTGTAGAAGTCAGGTGAAAGACAAGTACTGTTGTGTCGTGTAGAAAAGCCAGGTGAAAGAGAAGTACTGTTGTTTCGTGTAGAAAAGCCAGGTGAAATACAAATACTGTAGTTTTGTGTAGAAAAGTCAGGCGAAAGGTTTTCATTTGACTTAAATAAAAGTGAATAAAAACATTAACAAAAGGTCTTAGCGTGGAAGTTCATCAGTGTTGGTATACATCATTATGAATGAAGTCTAAGCTTTCTTTCCAACACTGGAATGAAAGTGGGACTTACCCCAAATTATCGGTCAACTTCCATCAACCTTGTGACGTGATCATCTGGACCCAATCCCCTCGACCTGCCTTTTGACATACAATCTGTACAGTCTTTGTCTATTATGTATTTTGTGTTTGGGGTGCCTATTTTTTTACTGTACATGTGGATAACTTCAGCAGTGTCTAAGTCTAGGGGTATCTAACTTCCTTTGAAATTCACCTACAGAAACAAAGAAAATAGCATTTTAGAGGGTTTAAAATATCCCCCTAAAACTCTCGCACCTCCACTCTTGAGCCAGTCAACAGAAAGGTGCTGTTGGGCGTGGCACAGGCTAACAGACAGTGCTGAAATTAAAGGTGTCCCTATGGCCAGAGGCCACCAAAATTTTGTCTGGGACAATTCAATGTACACTTTCGGAAATTTTGGGACAGTAGAAAAAATTTCAATTTTTGTCGCCATGCCATTGTTACGATGTAGGTGCACAAATCAGCATTGAAACTGCTTTCGATAGGCAATTATGGATAGCATTACCAAAAACTTTGGCAAGAGGGGGTAAGAATTCGTTCTATGTAAAGGAAAAGGTTGACATGGATAGCATTAGCAAAACTTTGGCAAGAGGGGCTAAGAATTTGTTCTATGTAAAAGAAAAAGATGACATGGATAGCATTAGCAAAAACTTCAGTTAACATTGGTATCAATAAATTGAAGTAGTGTAGCACTTACTTGCTATAGCAGGGATATGCATAATTATGTATAATGGTTAAAAGGATATACATAATTATGTATAATGATAAAAGGGATATACATAATTATGTATAATGATAAAAGGGATATACATAATTATGTATATTGATCAAGAGGGATATACATAAATATGTATAATGATCAAAAGGGATATACATAATTATGTATAATGATAAAAAGGGATATACATAATTATGTATAATGATAAAAAGGGATATACATAATTATGTATATTGATCAAGAGGGATATACATAAATATGTATAATGATCAAAAGGGATATACATAATTATGTATAATGATAAAAAGGGATATACATAATTATGTATAATGGAAAAACTAATATGTATAATCATACATGATTATAGATAAATATAGTATAATCATGTATAATTATGTATAATTGGACTATGCCCTAGGGACTAATTAACACATTCCACATATTTGTCACCTTCTACTATGTACTCAGGAAAAATATAAACCTAATTGGGTAAAGCAATTTAGAGTTATTAGCGAGGAGTCCATAATTAAAGTGTTTTTCCATAATTAAAGTGCTGCTTGTTACTAACAATATCAAACCATGCAGAATGATCGGGATAGCTGTAACTGAGTCACATAAATCAAGAAAATACTATCTGCAACTTTCAGTTTCTGGAAAACCAACTTTGTGGTCAAATTTCAATTTTTCAAACTGTCTTGTCAACATTTCATCAAAGCCTCTAATT